GTAACTGCACATGAAGTAAACTCAACATAATTACTGCACTGACAGTCATAGCTATAGTCCTGATCTCACTTGACAACTAAAATGGTTCCTGTCGCCACCAGCAAAATTAAAGCTCACACAGGAACACACAAATAAAAATAAATCCTGTAAAATATCTTTTCTGAACATGCCTGGGCCGTTAAACAAGCTTCTGAGATATCAACTCTTATCTTAGAGGTTTTTCCTTCAAGGTCAGGCTCCAGGCATGTTGAGAGCAATTAGAAATCATGCCTGTTACTGTCTGTTTTATATGCTCTCTGTGAAGACAATAAAGGGCTCTCAAGCTGTTCATCCAGTATTCTATGAAAGTGCACAAAATTGAAAAACTGTGAGAACATGAGCCTTGATATAAATTTGAAACAAGAAATATACCAGACAACTTCTTTCTTTGTAGAAACTAGTTGAGGAAATATTTGTTCCATTCCATTTAAATATACCCTCTGGCAACTGAGAATACCACAAAAAAAAAAAAAAAAATTTCTATAATATAAAGATTCAGCACAAAGAGCCACTCTGCTGAGGCTTTGATACCTGCATATGTTCAGAAAACTATGCAGCCTTTTATCAATCTTTTATCAATTAATTCCTCCTAATATACAGAACACAGTTGGACATTCTGAAGAAGAACCAAAATGTCTGGATATGGTTATGCGAGGGTAAAAAGGTTTTCACTAAATTGGTCTTAAAAAGATGTAGGTAAGGCATTGAAGAAATACAACACCTGCAAACTAGGTTCAAGAAAAAAATCTTTGGAAAAATAAGAGCAGCCATGTTCTAACCACCTCTGTACCATCTAATAAAGGACTTGGGCTAAAGGCTTAGGTATTTTGCAATGTCTACCTTTTGAGTATTTGGCACCAAAGTTGAATTCTGTGTTAGACATCCTGGCTCCACATAGCAAGAACAGCTCAGAATGGCATCTACAACAGCTGGTGGAAAAGTTCAACTATTCTGGAAGCAGAGCAGGATGACATGTCAGTGTCCAGAGGCTCAACTTTCTAGGTTATCTTGCCCTCTTGAGCCAAAACAGCTCAGATTCACACCATTAATTTCTTAAGAGATTTTCCTAAAAGCCAGAGGGAAAGAAGCTGAAGTAAGAGTTTCTCCTTTCCCCCTTCCTTGGTGAAGTTTTCCCATGGGGAAACAGAATAATTATTTACCAGTTCAAGACTGTTCTTTGTCTTTGATCTTAACTTTTTCCTTACAGTGACATCAGAGATCAGAGGCAGTATCTCTGAGCACAACTGCAGACATTTCTACAACGAAAGACAACATGGAAATAAGACTGTACCAGTTCTCTGCACAAAATGACTACATTAGAAGACTGGGTAATACACTACATTCAGGATAGAAGGAATTCAGAAAGACAAATGTCTGGTAATTTGCTTTGCTAACCATTAAAGGAAAATGCCAGTGCTGGTTGCCCTGAGGAATGGACCCAACCCTTTGAGATTTTTAATTAGAATTAAAAAAAAAAACAGAAAAGTGGATTTACAATAATCCTTTGAAAGTTGAGCATTTCATGGTCATGTGATTATGTTAGAGAATGTGGACTGCTTCAGTTTGCAATTTTGACAGCAATCATTTTAATAGCCTTGGGCTTCTCTCATAGTTACTGATCTATATGATAATATCTTTATTATTAGATTATGATAACTGAAGTAATGCAAGGAAATTCTTTGTTCTAGTCTGGGTGAGTTTTTTTGTGAATCTCAAATTATTTATTATGAATAAATGTATTGGTGAAGAATGATATCTATGGAAAACAGAGAGGTGAACATGCTGCTGATGTTCATTTCTGAGTCACTTTGAAACAGAATAGAAGTTAAATCCAAGGAGACTGAGCAAGCAAAAATACTGAATGAAGCACAATGATAATGGAATAAAGGTAATTTAAAAAATAAAATTAATTCTCTCCCATAGCTGACCACAGACTTTTTTCTAGCAAAGGCCATGTATGTACACTGGGAATCTTCCCTACAAAGCTTTTACAGTAACTATCTGAAAAATACTTTGCATAAAGCAAGTATGGTGATATTTAAATTTAGATGTACGATAAAGGTGATCAAGAAAGGAGTTAGAGGAGGTTTTGTCTTAGGTGATAATTTATAGTTGGAGTTGCATCTCCAAAGAGCAGTTCAGGTAGAAGACTGAATCAGTTTATGGTTTTGTAAACTCATTCCCACTGATTATTAGGTTTACAATGCAGATGCCACAGTAGATGCACTGTATTGGGTAGGAAGATTTAAGACCAGCACACACAAACACAAACATACTTTAATAACTGCTCAGCGTTTGTCTTTCAGTATTACTCAAGTCTATTGACTTTGAGTGTGTCTGTATCTGCGTTTTTCTTCAGATCAAGGTTGCATTTTTTAAGTGGATCTCCCAAATGTCCCGACTTACCCTGCTTTGGCTCAGTCTTGCATTGAGAAGCAACCTTGGAGTGTGTTAGGCTTCTTTTTTTTATGAAACAAATTCAGAAGATATCCTCCAGGATGTATCCAGCTCACTTCAAGAACTGATAGATGGCCAGTCCATTGGTCCAGGGTGCAGAAAATCCAAAAAACCTTAAATACAGATGTTGGGAGCTTGGCAGAAATTCTACAGATCCACTGCTGCAAGTCTGTGCCATGATAACTAGCAAAGCAGACTGCGTAACCTAAATAATTTCTAGATATCCGCTCTGGTCATTGTGAACCATTGTCTTCAGAGCTTTTTTAATTTTTTATTTTAGGGTGGTTTGTTTTCTAGTGTTGGGATGTCCTAACTTTATGTCCTAACTGTAGTAAGAAAATGCAAATTTACATGCCGAAGCCTGGGCTGATATTTTCCTGCCTCTCTTTGAATCTTGTCTGGATAATGGAAAAAAACCAGATTCTATTCTGATAAATAACTATAATATTTTTGATCATGTTACGACATCTTCCTATGCATACAGTTTCAATCCTGGAATGGGTATGACTTTCTTCATTATTTTTTTTTTATTTTCATGCATCTCTTTCTTTCCAGGAGAGAAAGCAGGAGAAGATACCCTAAAGCTGCTTTATATGCTCTCTCTGAATCTTCATTAACTCTCTAAACCAAGGCACACTTAGTAGAGTATGCACAATTGACGAGTTAGTGAGAAGGTAAGGGACAGTGAGTTCTTGATCACAAAAGAAAAGGGGAACAGAAGGAAAAATGTGGGAAAATCCTCCTTCAACAAAAGGATTCTTTGCCATATCTACATACATATATATATAGTATTTTGTTGTTGTTTTCCTAAGAATATACTAAATATAACTGCTTTTCTCTGGAATTTAAATTGTGATCATAGAAATTATAAGGCAAAATCCTCTGTTCTGCTGGAGCAAATTCTTACTGTGCCCTTGAAATCAGTGGAATTACATATATTGATTTTCTTCAAATTGAATCCATACATAAACTTGATTCCATTTTGATTTTGAAAACTAACAGATTTTTTGGTTTTTGGTTTTGGGTTTGGTTTTGTTGGTTTTTTTTTTCTCAGCGTTGCAAGTTTATTTCTAAAATATCCTGTTGTGTTTGAATATTACAGAAATCTGTGCAGTAACATCAAATACAGTAACATTATAGTCCCATTAAGTATTTCCATCCATTACTTTTGCTTCAAAGCTGCCAGGTTTTCATGTAATTATTTTGTCAATCCAGGAACATTTTTTCGCTCCCCAGTGCAATATGATGAGTACCCATGATTCATGTTTCAGTTGTCAAAGGAAAGGAAAGGGGAGAGATAAATTGAATCCATTTGTAGGCTGAACTGAAGCTGATTTTTGAGGTTTGTAGGAATCTTATTTTGGAGCCAGTGGTGTGTAGTTTCAGGCTGGCAGATTCTTTAAAATATTTATTATTTCATATACTCATTCTGAAAAGTTAGAATAACATTTAGAGCAATTATCTGAACTTAGAACTCTTGAAAATTAAGTGTTAACATTACTTGGTAAGGCTAAGTATGCTTCAGACAATAGCTGGTAGGTCAGCCTTTTACGTTATTTCACTCATTAGACTACCTCTGAGATGCAGTTGTGTAAATCTGAGGCATAGTTGTGTGATGTGCAAATGTTGTCCAGTATTTAGATGGGTCCATGGTATATTGACCATAGATAATTGTTGCTATTACAGTAAGAGCCAAATTTTAGCCTTCAAAACTGAAAGTACTGAAAATTTCTAGGTAAACTGGTTCTTCCTTAAAAAAAAACACCTTTATGGACTTTGGAGAATAACTGGTTTACAAAGTATTATTTATCATAAAACCCTATTCCAATTAATGGATAAATAATGTTGTACAAAATGGTGTTATTACTGAACAAGGAAAAATTTTTGCCCCAACTTTAAAGATAACTTGAAGAGCTAAACTATTCTTTAAGACCAATATTATGTTTTAGTCTCAGGTGTAATTGTATTGTATCATATAGCATGATTAAATAGTTTGGCTACAATTATAACTGGTGTTGAGCAAAAATTTAATTCACCTAAAGATATACACTTGACAATACACGGATGTTTCCTTTTGGTAAGGCAAAACTTTGATTTTGAATTTTTTAATCTTTATTTTTTTATACATTAATATTTTATTACAATTTATATTATTTGATTTAAAATAAAGTAACATTATTAACAGCTTATGCTGAAGGTTCATTTTATATTATGTGTCACGGTAGGTATAACATAATAATGAATGTTCAATATTCTGTTATGGAAACAAAAAGGGCACTATTCATCAATTTTATTTGGAATATAATAATTTTATAAGTTTTTTCATGTTTCATTTTTTCAAACTTCCATTCATTCCTCAAAAGAAGAAAGAAGTAGATTTTTCCACAGAAAGAACGAAATTTGTTTTTTCTGATTGTTTCTAGCTCATGCCCTAGAATTCCAGTTTTCCTTCTTTAAAATAACTTCTTTCTGGTCCACATGAAATGCTAACTTAGCCATTTTTTTTGAAGGCGCAGTAGTGAATACATAAGGGTAAACTGTAACTACACCCTTTCCCTCCCCTTTCCACCATTCCTTATTACCATTTTCATCACTACCTGTCTGACAATGAAATTATCAGATACTTTGCAGCTGTGCAAAGCTAGTGACAGAACAGGTAATCCCACTTTGCCTTGTGTTCTGAACTGTCTTTTTATTTTTTCCTGACTTTGTAACATTTGTAACATGTCATTTAGAAAAGGTGCCTGCATCATTAAGAGAAGTACAGAACTACGTGACAAAGTGGGATTTAGCATCCATTCATGTACTCATTGGCTTTTTTTATGTTTGAATACTTATTTTTTTGTTTTCAGCAGAAAAATCTAAGGTCATTTTGTTGGTTGCAGCTGAAAGCTTTAGTCTAAGTCATGATTTAAATTATTACTTTACACAATTTCATGATTTTCTGATATTGTACTAGAAATTTAAAATAATATTAATGTAGATCCTTTAAAAAAAGGAAAGAAAATACAGTCTCAACAGGCCAATACACTTAAACCACATGGTTACAGTAAAAAAGAGGATGAACTTATTTTTTGTTAAATTCCTACTTTTTTTTTGTTTCTTTAGAGAATTTGAGAAATCAATTTAAATGTTCTTTATTAAAATCTGTTGCCACAGCCATAGAGGAGGGTAAAAGTCAGTATTATTTTTAAATGTAAACACGTAACATTTAGGCAAACATGATCCAACTTTGAAATTTTTGAATCATGCAAACATCTAAAATAGCCATAGGACTAGAAGGAAGTTTGTTGTAATATTTTAGTAATTCCACAGAAGCTAAGCTTATAGTCTTCCTCATTTTACGTCATCTCTTATGCATAGTCTCCTTTTTGATTCATATGGTTATCTATCTTTTCAAAGTCATACAAAAGACAAGTATAATTATATTTGTTTACACTCTTGAAGAAGAAAAGTGTAATTATACATATTTTAATCTATTTCAGCTGCACAGGTGTTTGTGCTTCAAGGAGTTACTCTTCTGAAGAGGTATCTATGTTTTTCTTTGCCAATTTATTCATACTGTGTTTTCCTTTTGTTCTTGACCCCACTCCAAAGGCTAAGAAAATAAAAAGCTTCTATTTTCTTGAAAAGACATTTCTTTATTTAAATCCTGCCAGTTATTTTTCTGTAGCTCATTCCATTTGCCTCATTTCGCTTTTTTCTTTCTATGCTTTCCTTTTTCAGTTCAATTACTTTTCTGTGTTTTAATTATTAGTTCAAGTTCTTTAGCCAATATCAATTTTTATTACAAAGCTTTAACTTCTTTGATTCTTTCCATCATCATCTTATTTTTGATACTTATTTTCTAGGTAAGAAAGTGACCAATAAATCATAATCCCTACAGTAAGTATTTGAGGGCTGATTGAAGCATATTTTTAATCGAATATTACAATATAATTCTATTTTTAGTAAGGACCATTTCTGCTTCTTTAGATTTCTGTCTGTCTTTGGATCCTTCATCATCACGTAACAACATTCAAATAGTAGTTCTATTAATAATCTTTCATTCACAAGGCAGATGTTTGATAGATGGTTAAGGGACCTGGGATTTCAGGCTTTGCCATAGAGTATTGTAACGTGCATTATACTTCTATTTCTGTTCTTGCTGTACTTTTCATGGAAGGTAAAAAAGGAATTCTATCAATCTTTCAAATAATTGGTCTATAAACTGCTTTTACTTTTCTACCACTGCACAAAAAACATCTGTTATTCCTTCACCTCACAGTTGTAAAATAATTAAGACATGCCTCAGAGTAATAAAGTAAGCCAGATGAAAAAACAATGTGTACAAAAAAACCAGCACGGATTAGAAATTGCATTTAAGAAAAGATTAGTGTATTTCCCTGTTATCTTTTATTTTTGCAAAATTCTGTACCTGTGTATTGATTCTTTAGGATACCTTGTGAGTAGAGTTTGAAAAGATGAAATGTGTCATCCACCTGCCTCTGTCCAAGACCAATACATAGAACTGAAATTTACTGTCAACCCCTAACCTTTCAGGATTATTGTACTGTCTGTAGGTTTCTTAAAGGTTTAGCCAATGCAAACTACACCTTAAATCTATTATCATAGTAGTAATGGATAACTTTATTGCTGAAGAAGAATGGCCCATGCGTTTCTATCTTGGGTGTACTTTGTGTATCCTGAATATTCCCCTCAAATGGAAGCGTTAGAAATAGTTTCTGAAAATGCAGCTATATTGTGGTTATATGTAAGTTATATCTCTCATCTGCTTTCTAGAGCATATTCTGCTTCAACCTTTTGCTTTGACCAGCTGTGGCTGTACCTAAACCCATGTTCCACCCTAATGTGTCCTAGGTTGATACACACTTTCCTGCACACCACCCAAAGGAAGCTGAATGAGAGTAACACACATCCCATCTTTTTTTTTCTAAGTAAAAATATTGCTTCTGTCAGTAGAAACTTTTTGTACCCCTGTGTGATCTGTGATAAGGTTACTCTGCAGTATTGGCATATCGAGTACCAAATGGCATTAGAAGACATGCTGGCCTGTAATTTATAGTTGAATTTCTTTCATGTGCTTCCTTATTTCTAATTACTAGTTAATGGGGAAAAAGTTTATGTGATGCAGTCAATACGAGATATGAAACACAGTGTTTTAAATAGCATGCAATTGTATCAAGGTCACAAGTAGTACTCGTTTTAATTAACTGATGCTTGACACTAAAAATCTGAGTGCATATGCATCCAGTTGTGTTACCTTTCTAATGAAATAATTTTGAGGCCCATAGCTTTCATTAATACAGGTCATAAACAGAAAAATGTGAGGAATTTCCTTTTTTCACAAATCGTACTAGCAAAACTGTAAAAAAAGAAAAAGTATGATTACTGATTTAAAATTAACAGAATGGAAATCTCTGGAGAACTTAAAACCATAAAAACATAGAATAATTAGGGTTGGAAAGGACCTTAAGATCATCTAGCTCCAACCCCCTGCCATGGGCAGGGACACCTCGCATTAAACCATGACACCCAAGGCTCTGTCCAGCCTGGCCTTATCACTGCCAGGGATGGAGCATTCACGACTTCTTTGGGCAACCTGTTCCAGTGCCTCACCTCCATTACAGTAAAGAACTTCCTCTTTATATCCAATCTAAACTTCCCCTGTTTAAGTCATTACCTCTTGTCATATCACTACAGTCCCTAATGAAAAGTCACTCCCCAGCATCCTTATAAGCCCCCTTCAGACACTGGAAGGCAGCTATGAGATCTCCATGCAGCCTTCTCCAGGCTGAACAGCCTCAACTTTCTCAGCCTATCTTCATACGGGAGGTACTCCAGTCCCCTGATCATCCTTGTGGCCCTCCTCTGGCCTTGTTAACAGTTCCATGTCCTTTCCATGTTGAGGACACCAGAACTTCACACAATACTCCAAGTGAGGTCTCACAAGAGCAGAGTAGAGGGGCAGAATCACCTCCTTTGACCTTCTGGTCACACTCTTTTTGATGTAGCTCAGGGTGCATTTGGCTTTCTGGGCTGCGAATGCACACTGCTAGCTCACGTGAAGTTTTTCACTGACCAACATCCCCAGGTTCTTCTCCACAGGGCTGCACTGAATCTCTTTTTTGCCCAACCTGTGGCTGTGCCTGGGATTGCCCGACCCAGCTGTAGGACCTTGCACTTGGCATGCTTAAACTTCATGAGGCTGGCATCAGCCCACCTCACAAGCATGTCAAGGTCTTTCTGGATGGCATTCCTTCCCTCCAGTGTATTGACTGAACCACACAGCTTGGTGTCATCAGCAAACTTGCTGAGGGTGCACTCAATCCCACTGTCCATGTCACCAACAAAGATGTTGAACAAGACCAGTCCCCTGAGGGACACCACGCATTACTGGTCTCTAGCTGGACATTGAGCCATTGACCACAACTCTTTGCGTGCAGCCATCCAGCCAGTTCTTTATCCACCGAGTGGTCCATCCATCAAATTGATGTCTCTCCAATTTAGAGACAAGGATGTCGTGTGGGACAGTGTTTAACGCTTTGCACAAGTCCAGGCAGATGACGTCAGCTGCTCTGCCCCTGTCCATAAAGTTGAACAACACAACGTCTATATTTTGATCTCTGGATTTGTTCACTCAGAATGTTTTTTATAGGTCCTTTGGAACCTAAAATTACCTAGGAAGTATTTGTTCCTCTTAAAATCGATAAATAGATGAATTGATTTCACTAGGCCACTCATGCTTACATGTTCTCGTATCATAAACTTATATAAATATCTGTGCCAGTTCCACCAGTTTTGCTGTAACAAACACAAAGTAGCAACCATCATCATCCAAAACTTCTATTGTGTTATTTTACTGTATGAATGCTTTACTGCTTTATTTATAAATTATGTCAGTTTGATTGCCCTATTTACTTTTTATTTCCACAAATGTTTTCACACCAAGTTCAACCTTTAATCTGAGGAAAACTGCACAACAAAATATTCAATAAAGCCACCAGTTCTACTTTCAAAAGATTGGGTAATTTGATAGTAATTAGGCAGGTAATGTACATTTCTTGATGATTCTCCCTCTCATTTCCTCCCAGATATACTATTTACTGAAATAATAATCAGTATGTCAGTGACTGTAAATGCTTATACATTCAGGTCTAAGCAAAGTAGTATTTTTCAGGAAAAAAAAAAGAAAGAGATGTAGAAGAAGAAAAGAGACAAGAATAAGTCATTCCTAATCACTCCTTCCATTCACACTCTTTTTTTTCCTAAAGTGGTAATTTTATTTTTAAATTAATCTAAAATAAAATTATTAATTTCTAAAAATGGAAAAAAATATTTCTCAATTTGTTTCATTTAAATATTATAGGTGAATCTAAGTGTTGGGTGTTTTTAGGCAAGTATTGACAATTTAAGAATGAAGACTTGATTATTCAATCAGATAAATTAATTATTTGTATATCACTTGCCCAGACCTGACTGATTAGTTAGCCTGTAATTAAACATTCTACAGTTTGTGGTGGTTTTCTTCACAATCTTATCTACCCTGTCCCGTTTCTTCTATTTACTTGTTTGTTCTACCCAGATATTCCAGTCTTACTTTCTTTGGAGAAAAGTCTTACTCTCTTTATACCTGTACTGTGTACAAAATGACAGACATATAACCTAACAGAGTCTAATATTTCGTATACATCAATAATAGTTCTCTCTTCTCTGTCACAGATATTGTTATTTATTATATCAGGTTAGTCATTATTGTGCTATATCCCACTGAAAGGGGGTCAAGAGTATTCTTTATAATATAGACAGCTTTCTTCAGTAGAATTTTAATACCGAATTATCCTTTTTAATGAAAACCTGTGATTTTTTTTGCCAGTCTCCCAAGATTTCCAAATGTAGCTCATACCTGCAGCACTCTACTTGTAGAAAGAACTAAGGAAGTGGACTGTGACAGAGACCTATATTTTTTCAGAGCAATTGATCAGGGATTTAATTTTAGCACAATTAAAAACAAGTGCCAGCTATAATGACGATAATTAATCCTGTCTTTGGGCCACCAAGGTATCACATGGAGTCTGGAGATTTGGACTAATGCAGTGTGGATGAGACTGATATACGTGACATGTTCTCTGAGGTAAGAGGGAGGAAATCAGTCTGTAACAACTGCTTGAGGAACAAGAGCTGCTACTTAGACAAATACCCTGAGTTTTGCTGGAGATGCTAAACGCTGGAATTAAAGTTAGCTGCCTAAATTACCTGCAAGCAACCAAAATATGACCTTGGCTCTCCCCAGCCACTTCCGTTCAATTATTATTAAACTATAGAGAGGTACAAGGTTCTTAGTGAAATTATTTCATGCATTTACTTTGTTCCTTCATTTCTATTCATATACCTTTGAGGGAGAAGCAGAATGAAAACCTACAGATATTCCCGAACTGGTAAACCTCCAGTCAGATTTCACACTTTATCAGGCACTCATGTCAATCATCCACAAAGCAAATCTACAGAGAATCAAACTTCACTAGTTCTGTTAATCAAAGAGTTTCTTATTTTTCTCCTGAATTTCTAATTTCATGTTCTCTTTAGAAAACTGTTCTCTAAAGGTGGAATGGGGCAAGTGCTGCAGTTGAGATGGAATTCTGAGCTGTAAATCTGGTTTTCCCAATACTAATTTTATTTGTTGCTTTGGAAAATGCCAGAAAAAAAAAAATTACTTAAGCGATATATCGAATTTGGCATCACCCCTGTAAAAATGCAGGGCTGTAAGATTTATTGAAAAATATTTTTTGCTATATATGATATCACATATTTTATCTATGATTATCTATATTTTATACTTCTAGTTTTGCTGTACCTGCCTCTGTATTTTATTCCAGTTTTTAATAAACAATTCATTAAAATTAGTTAAGCACACATTAATAGGTTATCTAAAATATTTCTATAGAGTTTTGAACCAGAATTGTGTTGGTAGGTGTGGCACAGAGGTTGAAAACTGTCAGTTGTAATGTTATTCTGGTACTATAGTAACAGATTCCAGAGAAAGGCAGTAGTTTAGGAACACTGTGATGTTTCTCATTGTGTAGTGTGGATTTAACTGGAACATAATATGCTGTATCAACTTGGCTATCTTCTTCATGTCATGAGAATGTTACCTAAGCCAAATTTAAAAACTTGGGCAGTGTTAGAATGCCTTATTTATACAGACAGATGCCTAGGGAGATAATTTTTAGTAAGAAAAGAATAAACAAGTTCACAGAGTATTTTGTGATAAGCAAGCCAATTGCTGATTACAAGGAAAACACCAAATAAAAGTCTGATTAGAGCTTGGAATTAAATGTGAAGCTCAGCTGTCCTAACACAAATGACACTGACAAGCAGCTAGAATGGTAATTGAAGTAAGTTCATGTGCATCAATTACTCTTTTAATAATAGCGTAAAGAGACTGTAGCATCAATATTACTATATTGTCTACTTGTGATACTGGCAAAAGTCAGTCACCAGGCCAAAATGATTACAGATCCATGACTTTAATCAGCTGATATAAAACTCTTAGGTCTGAATGTAAAAATATAGGCACATTAATAATTTCTAAAGAAAACTGAATATGGGAGTATCTGGAAACATCATCAATAAAAAAATATTGTCTGTGTTTCAGAAACAAAAATCAACAAAACTGCTTTTTGAAGTCACAGACATTATTCTATAAAATTAGGGTAAATTAAATCTCAATTTCTGAATATCTCTTGAGGCAAGAATGACCTCTTGTCCTGGGTTCAGCAGTAGCAGTCATGTTTTCTCCTTCGTGGTGGCTGGTGCAGTGCTGTGTTTTGACTTCCAGCCTGGGAACAGTGCTGGTGATACTGATGTTTTCGGTTGTTGCTAAGTGATGTTTACCCTGACCAAGGACTTTGTGAGGCTCAT